CTTGTTTTTGAGGAGAATAAGTACGGGAATTTACGCACGACTAGGAACACTGTCTGTGACATTTTTGAGGATGTTCCGCCTCCTTCCTCCCCTCAATTTCCTCGTCAAATTCAATGAGATGCTTTCGGTTTTGTGCAAGCTCTGAAGCATTTCCTGTAACGTTCAACCAAGGCTACATACTCCTTCAGTCCTTCCTTCTCGGAGATGGTTGAAAACTCGTCGCGCCGAAAAAAACCGCCTTGCAAAGCTTATCGTTCGAGAGTTAAAGTAGGTAATCGCCCTCGTTGCAGCATTCATGCAAGTTTTTTCAGTATCAAAACAGGAAAAGTTGTCCAAATTACTGACCAAATTACAGTTTTTTGTTGTGAGGACGTTCACATCTTTTTTTCTATTCGTAACCGATTCGTTCATTATCTTCGAGCCTCTTACTAGCACGATCGATCGTATGCCCTCACGCGTTTAACAGAGGTCGCAACCCTAATTATTTTCTGTTCCCTAAGTGTACCACTGTGCTAGTGTTACGCTTCGACATGTGATTCGTCAAATGATTGAGCCTTGACTACAAATCATAGAATCATCTTATCAGATTCCAATTATTTGACGTTATGCGCTCATCATTTTTTCTGCTTACGGCGTTTCTCTTCCTCTGTGCTCAATTATTTAACATTTCAGACTGGATCGATCGTCCGGCAATCAGTTACCGTATGCTGCTCCCGGTATTTTTGTTTCCTTTGAAATTAGGTAAAAGTCACTATCAGAGGAAACGTTGACATTTTAAAACGAGAAAGTAAAAATATATTGCAGAGGAATAGCACAATAATCGGAGAGATTGTCGTATTTTTGTCATTTCACCTGCTGTTCTCACTTCTCAGGCCGTCTTGCGTGCAACAATTTGTTTATTCATGTTGACGGTGAAACTACCAGATCACGTATCCCGTTCCTGTTGTTTAAAAATTGCCGGTCCCCTTTTTTTTAAAAAGGAGAATCAACCAATCAACATCATTTTTTGAAGTTTTCACAGAGTTTTCTCCGCACAGAGAAGGAAAATTGCGGAAGTTTTTGAAAATTTACATTGAGTAATTTTCATGCAAATGAATGAACTGTTCGTCGTATCTGAGCACCCATAAATTTTTATCCCTTTTCTATATTCCGGCGAATTTTCTATTTTAAGGTATTGATCCTAAGTAGTTATATCTTTTACAATTTCCGACACGTGTTATTTCCCCAGCTTTGTATTAAATTATAGATTATTTTACCCAAAATAGTATTCGGGAAAGTAGGGATTTGTATGGAAAATGAACAATGTGTCGTTAGTCGTTCTTGATATTCTCATTTTTTCACCACCACTTTTATCTATGATTCGGAAAAGGAGAGAGTCTGTCTACAATACAT